AGGCTGAGTTTTAAGGTTAGGGGTTTAGGGTTTTGGGGTTTAGGGTCTAGGGAATCTCAGGGAATCGTTTATTTCAGGTGTTCAGGGTTTTGGGGGTTTCAGGGGCTGGTTTTGGGGTTTAGGGTTTATAGGGGTTTAGGCAATCGTTTATTTCAGGGTTTCGCGAGCTTGTCAGTGAGGTTTGAGCTTTTTCGGTTGAGGGCTTGTTTTTTTTTTGTGTGGTGATACGGGTTTAGGGTTTAGGGTGTGTTCAGTTCTTGGTGTTAGATGCTGGTGGAATCTTAAACCAGGAGCCATCCCCCGAGACACCTGAGTCTCTAGCAGGAGTTGTCTGACTTTCTGATCCTGATTCCTTAAAGCAGGGCCTGAATCACGAGTACCAGCACCCCCTTGGGAAACAATAGCATATCTATGGTATAGAGCCGCCCTGAAGCAGAAGCCTAATCACATAGGGACTATATTCATCTCGAAACTTCAATTCCGTTCGGCACAGGTGCGCCAGTGGAAGTGGGTTTCCGTGGGGCTCGTCTTCTTAGCTGCAGCTTGACTGTGTCTGAAGGGTCCAGGCCTGTACCATTCCGATGGGTCGAAGAACAGGTCGAGGTCCTGGGCCAAAATGCTTTCCGCTTTTCCGCTACCCAGAAGAGAGAAGTTAGGATACTAAAGCTTCGAGTCATGCAGCGTTGTTTGTGCTTTCAGCGTTTGGCGCTGGGAGTCGGGAGCATTACATGGGGTTTGTGCGGCCTTCTGCATGTTGCGGCCTCGGGGTAGCTTAGGGTTTACAGGGTTTCAGGCTCGGGGCATATATAGGATGTATGATTCGTGTAAGTCTTCAGGTGTAACAGCATGTACAAGCTTGACAGCATTTGATGCTTTCCGGCTATTTACTGTACACAGGTCTACACGCTCCGCTTAACGCCGCCTAAATTCCAGAACTTTCGGGGGTTCAGGGTAGAAAAAGATGGTTTAAGATATAGTTTAGGGTAGGGTTTGGAGTCCATACCTGAACCTCCTAGAAGTTGTTCATCGAAGTGGCGGATTCATCTTCCGAGGCTTTCTTTCTACAGAGCCTTTCTCTGTATTTCGCCTCTTGGCAGTGATTGGCAGGGAGGGCGCTTTCTGGATTCTCAGGACTCTGGACTTGATTTCGGGTTCTCAGTACCAAAGCCCTCGACCCCCCGACAAATGCACTTGCACTTCCCGGGTCTTTGGGGCTCTCGGTTTCGAGTCGCCTTCTCCTTTGAACCCAATTTGGGTTTGGCATGTCCGGACCAAGTCCCCTGGCCCTCCAAGAAGAGCCCGCAGGCCCCAAGCTGCTTGCCTCTGCTGAGGGCTGGAGGGAGCTGGAGGGCTGGAGTTCCAATCCCCTTTAGGGTTTAGGGTTTATAGGGACTTTAGGGGTTCTAGGGTTTAGGGATTTTAGGGATTTTAGGGATTTTAGGGTGTTAGGGTTTAGGGCTTAGGGAAGAAATCCGGACGCTGGGCTCAGAAATTTCAGTCTGGCCATCTCTTGATGTCTTGTTTGGCGTTCACGGTACGTCTACGACATCGTTTACAACAACTTGTATGGCCCAGTACTCCGTGAAGTCTGCAGCCTAGCACCACGCACCCGAAACCCAACGTCTCAAATCGTGTCGACCCTAGATGTCAGAATTGGCGGCTTAGGCTGTACGGTACTTCCGCAGTTCTCCGGTGGCCTTGCGGTTACCCCTCGAGGTTGAGGGTTCAGAGGTCCAGAGCTTATGGTCTAGGGTTACCGAAACAGTGCCATCCGGAAGAAGGCCACACGCCGCTATGTTCGATGGGTGGGTGGTCTGACTGCCACACGGTTGCCAACAGTGTTTCTTATGGGCTCGGGACATTGCGAATGGCTTGCAGTTGGGGTTCACTTAAACCCCCTAAGCCCTTAATGTCTTGGACTTAAGCTCCAAGCGCTAAACCCTAAGCCCCATGTGCTGTCGATTTTTCTGGGGGTGGGTGGGGCAGACAGCTTTGTCAGGCCACGTCGGTTCGTTCATGGTGTCCGGGTAATTAGTCTTGGGCCTAGTTTTGACACGGCTTGGAGGCTGCCCGCTAAGTCCAGGTTCAAGGTACTCAACTGCAAGCTAGGTTTAGGTCCCTTTTGTTGGTATGCTGTTTGAGATGTCTTACAGCCCAACTGTGTCCAGTGTTGTATAGTTGGTTTAGAGGTTCATGAAGTAAAGCCAAGCACCAGCCCTAGCCCTACACCCTGCGCCCTAAGTGGACTATTGGGCAATCCCCGTCCCTAAACCCGAAACCCTAAACCCTAAAACCCTGGTTCTGGAGGAGCGGCAAACACCGAAAGCCCTAAACCCTAAGAGCTACCAGACCCGACATCCTGTATCCGAAGACCTACTAGACCCCAATGGGCCCCAAAATCTCAGCCACAGGACCCTGAATCCTAAGCCCTATAAGACCTTGAATCCTCAACTCCTCAAGTTTAGATGTTCGGCCACCTCTCAGCCCTGAGCCCTAAAACCCCCCAAGAGCTGAAAGCCCTTAACCTAAAGCAACTCGGAGACCTGCTGAGGAAGAGCCCACCCCCAAACAGAAGCCTAAGAGCCCAGAAGGTCCTCAGGGGAAGGCCAAAGAGCAGCCTAAAAAACCCCCCAAATCCCCAAAACCCTACAACCCTAATTCTCTGAAGCCCCACAGCCCTAGAACCCCAAAACTTGAAACCCTAAATTCTAAACCAGGAGAAGGCCAAAGAGCACCATGCTTCGCACATTGGGGATCGCAGTCAGCATCCGCAGCTGGACATGTTGGTCCTGAGGCCTGGGAATCGGGCGATTTAGGGCTGAGGGTTTAGGTTTAGGGTTTGGGTTTAGGTCTAGGGTTTAGGGTTCTGGGTTTAGGGTTTGGGGTTTAGGGTTTGGGGTTTCGGGTTTGGGGTTAAAGGGCGTTTTTGGGAGCATGATTTTCCTGTACATCTTTTCGGATTTAGGGCTCGGGTTTTAAAGGCTCGGAAACAGTGTTTGTTCCCGGATTTTGTCTCGGGTGTGCGGGTAGAGCTGAACAGGTTTTGGTACGGGGGTTTAGGTTTAGGAATGATATGGGGTTTGGGCTTTTGGCTTCAGGTACTTGTTTGTTTTGGGGCTTCGTGCCTGAGTTTGAGATCGTGTGTAATGTAGGGACCTTCATAATTACCTATATTCCTTTGGGGTTCCTTATTATGATTATGGTATACTATACCCCAAAACCCTATTCTAATTATTAAGGCCCCTACATTACAGGCCT